AAAGGGAAGGGGCTGGGGACTAAATACGAATATTTCGATAGGTTTGTAGCTGTGCGGTGCCACTGGTGGTGGTGTGGTAACCTGTTGTGTGTGCGAGAAGTATTGGGTAGCGGGGACTTCCACGAAATCGAAAAAGATCGGCGGCCGTCGGAGCAGAGGAGTAGAAGTGTGGTTAAGTGGGGCTGGCCGCTACCGGGGGAGGAGGAGTCCGATCCGTAATAGAAAGGTTTCGCCTTATCGTGCCGGCCAGCCCGCCCCGCCCCGCCCCGCCTTCTTCTCATCCCTCCAGCCCGGCACGCGAGTCGGACACCGCCCCTCCCTCCTGTTCGTTGGGAGGACGATCAAAAAAGGTGTGAAGGATGGACGTCGCGACCAGTGTCGCAGCGTGGTTGCACCCCCGTGATGAAGTACCCCCCGTGCAATGGCTCACCAGGGGTAGATCCACACAGTTCATCACGTTACACACCGGATGCCGCGAGCGTCTTTACAAAACCCATTACACCCCCTGCACTCTGGCCACGATGACCCGGGCAGCTTTTCGAGCTGCATGCCCCTCGCCGACAAGCGCACCTGTTTCTGTCTGGTTTCTGTTAGTTTTACAACGCCTTACCACGTGCCAACGGGGTGGAGCAGGAGGAGGGGAGGGTGAGGATTTATCAAGACTGGCCCATTCGATGAAGTCAGCGGTGTGTTCGTCTGATAATGACCGTATTGATTTATTGAGGACCTTCTGCTGCTGCTGCTGCTGCTGCTGTTGGCCATATCGGTTGTTGTGGCTGTAAAGCCAACCCCTGTGTCGTCCCCGGGGAGGCAGTGTAATGCTTACCTCGTTACCGCAGCCGCTCGACCCGAACTCGTCGCGGCCCGCATCACTTTATTGAATGCTTCCGATAGCGCCACATTTACGGTGCCCTTTTTGTTTTCTGCTATCTGCCTTGCCTCGGGTTCGAATACTGCCGCGAGAAACAGTTTTATATGTTTATTTTGCTTCTCCTCTTTGTTTCGGCTGCGCTCTGCAGTGTCATAACAGAATATTACGATCATGCCAATTATCCCGTTTAAGTAGGTGGCCCGCAGGTGTGCAAGGGATGCAGCCGCGGGCTAATGACCTACACTGCTAAAAAGAGACAGCAGGTCTTGGCAAATGGATCGAACAATTGGCTCACTCTTAACGCCGCGTAGGGTCGCCTAGCTTATGCCAAAAGTTTTGGCATTCCTGTTTGATTGCCAAATTTTGGCCGTCTATATTGAAGACTGCGCATATTTTGCCTCTTTGATTGCCGAAATTTGGTCTTTGAAGCTGCCGAAAGTTCGCCTTCCTTTACAATATATGAAACTGAGTTTTGGCATGGCATTCATTGCAGATAACAGCCAAAAGACGGCCAAAATTGGGAAATCCCGCGGTCATGATTTTCTATCTGTAGTGAATGGAAAGCTCTCTGTATTTCATCCAACGACAATGTGTGTACAGATGTGAGTTGTTTTCCCACGAGTCGCTTGAGCTGCAGCCGTGAATGAAACGATCTTCTAACCAACATACTCCTCTGGGTGTGATGAGCTCCACGGCAAGGCTCACGGGCTCACCTCGCGGACACTCTACGGGCAGCGCCGGGCAGCGCGCACCCATCCAGCACGGTCCATAAAGCGTCCAGTCTTCATTCACACTCGGGGCTGTCAGCTTCTCCTCATGGACCCGCGGCCCCGGGGGACTCGGAGAGGGACTCGGAGAGGGACTCGGAGAGGGGCGGGGGAGTTCGTACGTGGTATCTGGACTGAACACTCGGGCCCGCTTTGGCACCTTTGAAGGGCCGGCCGCCGCGTCGTAAACGGACGCATGCAACATTAGGTGTGATATCCACCCTGCTAAAAAAGACGCACGCGGGTTTAGGAGTAAAAAAAAAAACATCCTTCTCAATCATACGACTCATTTCATTTCCTTGAACATTTCAACATAAGACACAGCATACATGAAATAGGTTTAACAAAACTTTCAGAGGCAATCCTTTAAATTTTTCATTGGGGCTGGTAAATTGTGTTCCTTTTTTTGGCGTGTATTTTCCACTCCAGCCGACGGCGAGCCTACGGTGTACCATGAATGGGCGTGGCCGTGCGTGGCGCTTGTCTCCGACTGGGTGACATCTCTAAGCCTGCCTCCGCGCCCGCCGCGCCGCGCCTCCCCCCGTGGCGTGCCTGTGGGAACGGCGATAACACCAAGTTAAATTGTATAATCTAATCAAATAATTACTGCGGGGCAGGGAGGAGGCGGGGGGGTTGTAGGGGTCGAAGTGGGGCCAGGGCTGTCGTGAGGGGGATTTTATTCCAGGTCTCACGATCCGTTAGATTTTCTAGAAGGCGACCAATCTGTAGCATTGTATAGTATTTATCTGTCTAAACACTGTGGATTCCATGGTTGGGATTCAATCGAAAAACATAAATGATTTGCCCCAGAGATGTTTGTAAAATGTTTATTTTTCCTTTTTTCTTTATTGCAACTTTTTGAGTTTCAGCATCTAGGCTTGCACAGAGAGATATCTCTTTAGTATAGATACTCTGGAAGATCTAGAATAGGGCGTCGTGACCTAACCAAAGAGCCGTTTTTCCACATTTTGTCAATATTTTTTGAACGGTGCGGTATCGTAATAAACTACGTTACGAAGAGCATTTATTCGTGAAAAACTTACAGTGTATAGGCAAACCTGTGTCCGTGAGATGAAGTTGGTCAGAGACAACAGAAAACCCGCCTACAGGTGGCTAAATCGTCTGGTTTGCCTCATCAGACGAACCGACCGTTTTAGGCAACCCTCCCGCGCATGCGGTACAGTCTACAACAGGGTGGTCCACAGACCCCTTCCTTTATTTTTCGTATACTGTACCGCACGCAGGTGTGCGGGCGGGTTTGCCTACCGTCGCTCACCGCGGCGCCTTATGGCCCTGAGAACGCAACCCGCTCGCAACGCCTGCATCCGGTTCCAGTACAGTATAAGCAAAATCGAGGGGGCAGTACTCCGAATACAAGTGTACACCTGATTCCCGGAGTCCATCATTCTCCCGTTGATTCCCATTGATTCCCGCCGTGATTCCATTGATTTCCGTTGATTTCCGTCGTGTTTCTCATTGATTCCCGCTGATTCCCAGGCCGGTGTGCACACGTGATTCCCAGAGATGTTGCCCCCTCAAGCAAAATAAAGGAAGGGCTCTGTGGACCACCCAGTATAACCACCAAGTCGGCGGGACAAAACCAGCCACCTGGACAGGGTCCCCTGGCCACCAAATTTCAAATTGCTGTTCCCATCACAGAAGTCGCCAACGACTGCGTTAAATGTGGAAAGTACTCCCCATTTTCTTTTTTTCTGAAGCATGTTCCTCTTTGAACACCCCACATTTTTCTCAGATTTCAGCATATCGCCGAGGTCGGAGAAAATTACGTCGGACAAAACCTGGGTCGGACAGCACTTTTTGGGATTTTGGAAAAGTCACCAGGTCGGAGAAAAATAGGTGGGACAATTTTGCTGCACCGGTGTGGATCCGGATGACCTGAGTCTTCATGTTGACCCGGTACCTTCCCTAGTACCCGTGAGGTTTCAGCAAAGGCTCTTGCGCCCTTTCTGGGTCTGGCTGGACCCGCGGTGGCCGCCCCGCGCTTATTCGCCTTCCCTCCCCCACCGGGCCGCCAGCGCCCTCTTCCGGCGCCCACTTGCGACGCGGGGTAGCGGCGTGGCGCGGCTACCCCGCGCGCTCCCCCGCGGCGATACCCCGCGTCCCCGACGACTTCCCTCGCAAACTCGCCAGGGAATGACTCCGTGCGGAGCCCAGAGGAGGAGGAGGAGGAGGAGGCGCTCTCCGCCTTTCACCGCGCCCTGCCCTTCTCCTCCCCGCCTCTCTCTCGCGAGCTGCCGAGACCCCACCCTCCCTCTCGCGGTGGTCAGTGCTCCCGGCGGCGGCGGCACCATCCGCGGTGTGCGCGGAGCGCGCGGTCCACCTCCTCGGCGGCGTGCGTCCCGGGTGCTGGCACACGCCTCCCGACTGCTGACCGGCATTGCCGACATAGCTACGGCATTGCGGGCATTCCTCCCGAGCGGAGCGCGCCCGCCCGGACGGCTCCCGAGGCCGCCCCCGCCCTCGGCCCACATCGGCAACGGCGGCCCGGCCGCGCGAGCGGCGGGCTCCTTGTGTGCCATTCGAATGCGTGCGGCTGGGGCGCCTGCCTTGGCTCGCGTTGAGATAGGGCCGAGGTTCGGGCACAGCACAAAAAAGTAATCTATGTGAAAGAAGACGATTCTTGATTGTCTTTCTTCAACGGACAAATAAGGAAAAAATCGCCGCATCACACCTGCTGAATGGGAGGTATCTCTGCCTGCCTACCAGGCAACACCTCCTCTGCGCACGTGTCCGGATGTTGCCTAGTAGGCAGGCGGCAGGCAGGCTCCACTGAGCTGTGCTCCGACAGGTTTTGCCTAACTTTTCTGCCAACCCTGGACTCGACACAATTCATGTACCACCGTATCTAAATAAGTGTTACTGCATGTAAGTGTTGTACTGCATGTGCTGTACACCTCTCGAACATTTTCAATGCGTGTGTTACGTTGGCTTCCTTTGAAGATAAATATATATGGGAGTAACAGCAAATAAAATTGAGTGTTAACCAACATGATTCTGACGTTTTATTTTCGGATTTCCGTTCAGATGTCTAACAAAACAGTTCAGCAATAATTTATTTACAGATGAATGATAGTGTGGCATGAAAGCGTCTACTGTATTTGTACAAGAAAGGTTTTCCGGTGCCGGAGCGCTCACACCCGCGTCTTCCTGGGCCCCGTGGCGACGCTGTAGTCGTTCTGCTGTCTCCCGGTGCGGAGGTGGTCCCCTGCACCGACAAATCCCATGTTAGTGACCATGACGGTGACGACGATGTTGATGATGATGATGATGATGGTGGTGGTGGTGGTGGAGGTGGGTTCACGCTAGAATGCCTCTGCCGCTGAGACAGAGGTGTTACACAGCCGGCCCTGGGCCATTACCTCTTCTCACTGGAAACGCGGCGCCGCCGGCCTTCTCGTTGATGACGGTGGGCGTGGCACCGGTGTCCTGGAAGTGCTCCGCGCCCATCCCGGACATGAGCGCCAGCCTCGCGGAGATCTCCTCCATGTCTGGAACAGAAGAGAAGAGGAGCTGAAGGCGGGTAGCCACGTGTGAAGCGAAACAACGCGTCTCTCCGTCGCGCGGGACGTCGCCCGGCGGGTAGGCAACCCATTCGACAGCCGTGTGGCGCTGGCTCTGTGGCGGCTCGCTCCGCGCGCTGTGCGGGGCGGGGACTTCCCGTTCGAGAGAGCCAGAAGGTGATGGATGATGCCCCCCGCCCCCCCCCCCCGCTAACAGACCATGGACGTCACAACAGCACGCGTTTTATCGTCCACCGTAACGACCGCCACGATTAAACTGTCCGCCGAAACTGCCCCATCAATGGAAGCGGTATTCAATCGGTACCAAATGCCGCAGTATTGCCGGCCTAAGTGAAAAATGAAATGACAATTTGGGAACTAAAGAATGACTATGGTGAAAAACTCAAAAATAAATAAATGATAAAACAAAAGTTGTTTGATTGATTGGCCAAGAACAAGCCGAAAATGCCATCGATATTCCATCCATTATCTCTCATCGAGTATGCCATCGTATGTTTATCGGATGCAGCGTGTACAGGATGGAGCGAGGCAAGGGGTAGGGCTGAGGCGGGCCGAGGCGAGTCGAGCGGCGCAGGTAGGCACAAAGAGGAGACGGTCCCCCAGCGGAAGTGTGCGCGCGCGTAGCCCGGAAGCTCGCCCGCCTCAGCCATCACACATCCCTCCCTTCCCTCTCCCTCCGCTCCCTCTCTTTCTCTGCCCTTCTCTCTATCTCTCTTTTCCGCCGCCCTCCCCTACCACGACTACGCATTCCTCCATTCTCCGGTGTAATAATAAGTGCCTCACGGAAGACACTTTACAAGTTTAGCGCGCAGAATAAGGACAAGCTGTCGTGGCGGGGCGTGGCGGGGGCGCCCAATTGGGCTCAACTTCCCCTCCCCCTTCACCTCCCTGCCCGGCCCGTGCGCCCAATGCTACTTTCTCCTCGGCGCGCCCAGACCTTATGCGATTCCGATCGGCCGAGTCGCGGTGCACTATGGTGGCGGGGGCGGTCCTTACCGGCGTCGAGGTTCTTCTTGAGCTTCTTGAAGTGCCAGGCGTGCTGGCAGGGCCGGGCGTGGCCGGGCGCGGTGCACCGGCGTCGAGGTTCTTCTTGAGCTTCTTGAAGTGCCAGGCGTGCTGGCAGGAGTAGGCGGCGGCCACGATAAAGAAGAGGAGGCAGGCGCACACGGCAGCCACCAGGACGCCGGCCTGCCAGTCCCAGACCAGGGTCTCGGCCGTCGTGAAGGTCTGCGTCGTGGCCACGACGTCCAGGTCCGGGCGTGCGGCCTCCTGCTCCTCCTTGATGACGATGAAGTCCTCGACCAGGCTGATGGTGGTTGGCCTGGCCGTGGTCGTGGTGGTGGTCGTCGGCGCGGCCGTGGAGGCCGGGGCCGCCGTCGAGGACGCCCGGTGGCTCTTGCGCCACACGGCCTGCGCGATGTCCTCGTCGTCGCTCACCGGGTCCCCGACGGCGTCCCCGCTCGCCCCGAAGTCGGCGAAGTCGTCGTAGTCTCCGAACGGCTTGGCCTGCGTGGAGGAAGTCGTCGTGTTATTGAAATGACAACGCTACCGACAGTGAAGTGTCGACGTGTGCCGCGAACGCTCGGTCTTTAGCCTTACCTTATGGGCCTTCTTGCTCTTGCGGGTCTGCTTCTTGTGCGGCAGCGGCTGCCGCGGGTGATCCGGGAGGATGTAGTCGTCGCCGAAGTCCACGATCTTGTCACGGCTCGGAATGTGCTTGAGCTCGTCCCGGAGCAGCGCCTCCGCCTCGGTCAGCGAGTTGATCCGCTCGTGCACGCCGCCTGCAGGACGGTCCGAAAAACACAGAGATTTAGATATCGCGCCGAAAACCTGAGCAGCTTATTAGCCAGCTTTACAGCAAAGAAATTTAGTTCGATAGGCGATCCACTGCTCTGATTTACGACAGGCGGGCCGAAGGTTCTCGCGCTACCGTACCACAGGCACACGCAGACAACGTGGGCTCTTCCTGGCGGGCGCTGCGCGAGCGCGAGTAGGCAACCCGCAGGCGCGCCTGCATGCGGTACGGCATCCAGGAAGGACGCGGCGCCCGCCAGGTAGAAGAACGGATAATTCTAGTGACTAATGGCCCGTGACTGTCCATCTGCAGTTTAGAAACGGTTCTGGCGAGGCTCACCATGCTTCTTGCGGTCGGCTGGGGTGGGCGCGGGCTGCTGCTGTCTGAGCCAGCTCCAGTCGATCACTAGGCTGGACAGCGGGGCGCACTTGGCGTCGCGGAACCCATCGCAGGGCCTGCAGGCAGAGAGACACACGCAGCGAACGATTAGATCGATTAGATCGATATCGACAGGTGTCGATACAAGAAGATCACCCGCACGCACTCACCTCATGGTCAGCTCCGGGCACTGGGTGCAGTCCATGCAGCTCTGCTGGCTCGCGTTCCAGTACCGCCGCTCGCCGCAGCGGCCGGCCTGCACCTGCCGGCCATGGCTCGGGCCGTGGTGGCCGTCCTGCCGGCCGTGGTGGCCGCCCTGGAGGTGGTGGTGGCCGCCCTGATCGTGGGCGGGCACGGCCGTGACGGCCGCGCAGCACAGCGCCGCCACCAGCCACACCTGCAAGCAGAGGGAGGCTGGAGTTAGCACACGTGAGCGAGATGTACTTTACTCACAAAGCAAAACACAACCACCGAAAGAATCAGAAAAAAAAAATCAAAGAAAAGACAATTTTAAAAAATTCAAGGAAAAAAACGGAAAACCTTCAAATAAATCAGGATTTTAGGAAATAAATGTCAGGAAGCGTGTATACGCGAGCTTTTCGCCGGTCGGGTCGGGCAGTGGTCGGGTTAACGGTGCTGCAGTGCTCCATCACATCACAGCGGGACTCCGTGACTTGGCCCAAGTGCCCCTCCCCCCCCTCCCCCCTGGCCCCCAAAAAACCTGGGCCACTCGCCACCGCGACTCGATCTGTCTCTCTCGCACTTCGTGGCCACTTCACGTTTTGACTTCCATTCCGACGTGCAGATATGTTTGTATGAGGAAAAGCCTTTATCAATTCCGCCCACGGTAGCAGGCTGGGCGCGGCTCTGTACACAGAAACCATAGAAACGTGACTTCGAAAGAGCAGCTTCGCCTTCGAATGGCTCCACAGAGTTTTGACAAAGTTTTTCATTTCAACAATATAATATTTCCTTTCTTTTTTAATAACAAGAAAAGAGTACGTTAGGAATTTCCAGCCCGACTTTTTTCCCCGTGTACGTAATGTGAGGGCGTAATGGCGGTGCGCTGGACAGCGAGCGGGCCGCGTCCGAAGCGCGCCGTGGCCATAAAAGGGACCGGCGTGGCGTGGGGCGTTATTCGCGAACGCAGCCGAGCGGCCGTTATTAGCAGGACAAAGGGCCGGGCGCGCACGGCAGCGCGGCGCAGCGCAGCGCGGGGATGAGCATTCGCACCCGCCCCTCACACACTGAGCGAGAGAGAGGGGGGAGAGAGGGGGGAGGACAGCACGGTGAACTAGGAACAAAGGTTGACTGATGTAGGTGCAATTTGGGAACTTTCAGGACGACTTTCAAGGCTGTTACAAAAGGCAAATCCTCTTCCTGAAAGACTCCAAAACTTCATTTCCACCACGTTCCCGCGACTGGCCACAAGGGAGGGAGGGGGGGAGAGGGAGACCCCCCAAGGAACTTGTATGAGACGGGGGGAAAACAAACCACTCATCGTATTTTCTGTTCTAAAATTACCGAGCGCGCCCTATTCCCGATGCACTACCCTTTCGCACCACCAGCTCGTGACGTGCGAGCCGGGGAGTAGGGGCGTGGTCGGGCGTGGCCGGGCGTGGCCGGGCGTGGCCGGGCGCGGTGCGTTAGTTCCTCTGACCGCCAGAGCGACCCGCGCGGCGACCACCCCGTCCATCAGATAGTGCCCCGCCCCCGTCCCCTTCCCCGCCGCGTACGAAACTCCACACCTGCGCCGCTGGCGTCTCGCTTCCACCAACGCCACCCTGCCACCCCTCCTCTCGAGTTTCATAACGGGGGTGACCTCGCCTCACTGATGGATTAGGAGCCCACCGCAAAGCGTGGCAGGGAGAGGTCAGATTATCGCTCAAACTGATAGAAATCGCGCCCCCGGGAAAAAAATGTTTAGAGAAATAACAAAGACATGCATAGGATTTGTCCGAACAAGACGTCCTCCTTATAGTTTCTTTAACAGCAGTGTAACATTAAGAAGGACGTATGTGCCCGGGCTCGCGCTCAGAGTTGCGGGGAACCAAACGACCGTCTAATGGGCGACCAAAGCCGCGTGTCGGCTTTAGCTGGCTAATCAGTCCGAGCGGGAGCAAGGGAGGGACGAGGAGGCGGAGGAGGAGCAGGGTGACGAGCTCCGAACGGAGCCACGCCAGCCGAACAGCGCAAAGTCCTGGACCTCACCTGACCTCTAGGAGAGTGCGGACAGCACGCCGCCCTCCCTGAGGCGTGTGGCTATACTCGGTGGGGCCGACCGACTGGCTGGTCGAGATAACAAAAATAGATGAGTACATAACATCCACTTCCGAGACCCCGGCGCGGGCCGGCGGGGCGGGAGCTGCGCGCCGCAGGCTCTCTCTGCGGCTCCCGTTCGGTTCTCCGCCAGGACCATCCTCCCCGCCGCGCCACCACCCGTCCTGGGGGCGCCCAGAAGCATGAGCACACCCTCTCCAAAGGCTGACGTAACGCTCGTCCAAACGGCATACGCTATGCCGGCCGTCGTGTGGGGGTCATATCGTCTGGGCCGAACTGGTCACAAGTGGGGAGCTGGTCGAGCTGCTCGCGCCCGCAGAGGTCGCGGGGTGCGCAGCGTCGTCTGCTCCGCCGCCGCGGTGCCACTTTAGTGCTGCTCCGCCCCCTCCAGCCGGGCCGGGCCGGGCCGGAGTGATCGATCAAGACTTATTGGCTGAGCGTCTCGCCGCCCCGGTCGGTCCGGCTAGTGCAGGTGCACCCCGCCGAGCAGGAGGCGGCAGACGAGACAGACACCAGTTCATTCGCTCAGGTGTGCGTGGGGATTTCCAGAAAAACAGCGTCGGACGGGCCTTCTGTTTTTTTCTTTTCGTGTGTATGAAGCAGCAGAAGCAACAGGGGTGTGTCTCTCTCCATTCTCTCCCGGACAGGTGGGGTGTCACGGGCAGCGGAGGGGTGGGGGGCGGTAGGGGCGGTAGGGCGGGTACTGCCCACAGGGGATCTCTGTTTCTCTCTCTCTCTGTCACACACACACAAGAGGACGGGCGCGCGCACTCGTCGCACTCGTGTATGTACACGAACGTTCTGTAATTTCCCAAGAGTGGTTTGCTGCTGGCCGTAGCCGTTCCCAGAAGGCGAAACAAAAACTGAATACTGTATGTGTCCTCGTGTCGAGTCCGCTGAACGATGCCACCGACACCACCGGCGAGCTCTGGGGGCAGAGGTCGCGCGTCAGCGCAGCGTCAGCCGGCCTGCCATTCGTATTAGCTTTATTACCACCGCACCCTGGCCATTAATATTACCAGGCCGCGGGCGCTCCTGGAGCCACTGGAACTGGACACTGGAGGTGGACACTGGAGTATGAGGTGCGGGGGCAGGAGGTGTGGGAGCATGAGAAGCGGGAGCATGAGGTGCATGAGCATGATGTTCAGGAGCAGGAGTTGCAGAAGCAGGTGCAGGAGCAGGAGGTGCAGGAGCAGGAGGTGCAGGAGGAGTGGGAGAAGGAGGTGCAGGAGCAGGAGGTGCACGAGCAGGAGATGCGGGAGCAGAAGGTGCAGGAGCAGAAGGTGAAAGAACAGAAGGTCAAACAACAGCAGGACGTGCAGGAGCAGGAGGTGCTGGAGCAGGAGGTGAGGGAGCTGCGGCCTGCAGCTGCGGAGCCAAAGTGCCCGCGCAGCGCCGGACCGCGGCCGCTCCAGGACTGGAAACGAGGTCACTCTCAACTCCTTCTCTGAACCGCTCGCCCGGTTGCTCGGCCGGCCTCTCCGCACCGCCCCTAGAAGCTTCGCGCTGATTGGCTCCGTACCTCTGCTCCGGGGCTCTGCTCTCAGCGCCTTCCGGGAAAACGAGTCATCAGACAAAAATGTGTCGATGGAAAGCGTCAATCGGTAGTGAGTGTAGCTCTTCGTTTACATCACGCGAGGACACGCTGTGGTTTTCGGGTGCTGCGATTACTTGCCCACCGGTCAAAACAGACCGCTAAGCCAATGCTGCAACGCAAGTGTTGGTTAGATAGAGCGACTTTCATTGCCATTTATGATTATTAAATCATGCATATATTTTTTAAATTGCGAAAACTTTGCAAAAGTGACGATAACAAATCAGGAAGACGGAATGACGAAATACCCGCTGGACGTTGAGTGTCGACCTCTGCATGAGCGCGTGTCTCCTTGGGCTCGCGGGTTGGCGCGCGGCGGGTGTGACGGTACGTGAGTCCCCCGCGCCGCCGCCGGACCGCGCTCCGCCCCGCTCCTCCCCGCCCCGCCCCGCGCCACGCCGCCGCGCCGGCTACCCATACCAGTCGTACCCGCGTGGCCATGTATGGCCCAACATCCAAGCCGCGCAGCCGCCCAGCCCGGCGCGGCGACCAGCTGGCTCGGCTTCGCGCCACGCCGCCGCGCCGCTCCTCTCCTCCGTCCAACACCTTTTCAATCGCCGGGGGGCTCTTCTACTGCGCGCCGAGCACATCGTCGGGCACGGCGCCGGCGCCTCCCGCCGGCACACCTTTGGGCGCGCCGCGGCGGGGTGGTACCTGGCGTTGTACTGTACGCGATGTTTTCGAATACTTTCCCGCACAACGACGCAGCAGTGCAACGGCGAGGAGAAGCGAGGTGTCCTTGCATATGTGTGCTGCCACCAAGTCATAAAAAATGCGGGTTTGCAAAAGGTGAAGTGAGAAGAAACGTCTGCTGTCGTACATACGAGGCTTGGGAGCACACCGGGTAGTACTCGCACCGTGAGAATAAAGTGTGTTCTTCGTTTTCGTCTTGTTGAGACTGACTTTGCAGAGCGTCCTCAGCTCGACGCACTCATCGCGGCAACGATGGGAGAGGTCACATTAATTAGGAAAGTCTCCATTGTAGGCGCGGGCAAGCAGACAGACAGACAGACAGACAGACAGACAGACAGACAGACAGACAGACAGACAGACAGACAGACAGACAGACAGACAGACAGACAGACAGACAGACAGACAGACAGACAGACAGACAGACAGACAGACAGACAGACAGACAGACAGACAGACAGACAGACAGACATTCTTAAGGTGCATCTGCCATTGGCTTGTTCTGCATCAGCAGGCCCCGCCAATGCATTTCATTATTCACGCCAGATTTGATTACATTCGATGAGTTCCAACAGCCAGCCGGGCCGGGGCAGAGCCGGGGCAGCAGCAGGCTGCCACTCGAGGGGACATGACTTGTCACTATCAATCAGGCGTGCGTCTGCATCGTGCTCTCGCGCAGGTCTGCAATCTGCAGCCGAATGGCAGCCGTGGGAATACAGTACACACACAGCATAGCCAGGGGGGGTGTAAGATGTAGATTTAAATTGGCAAATTAAAATCTGATTTGTGGTTGTGTTGTTCCATTGTTTGCAGTGCAATACGGTGGAGTACAGTACAATCAGGTCATTCGAGTCGCATGCAGGCGGATCCCCACACCATCGACCGCACCTGGAGAGCACGACACTTGAGACTGTCCCCTCTCCCCCGTGTCTGGCTGCCCCCCACCCCCCTTACCCGCCCCTTTCCTACGCCCTTCTCTATCTAACAATAGGATATCCAACCGCCACACGATATCCCTATGATCACCCTGACCCGACGCCTTGTCAAAACACGACCACTTTGTTATTGTTTCCGTATCGGACTGCTTCGTTCGCAAAAAAAAAAATAGAAATAGAACTTTTTTTCCTTTTTCGAATTCGCCATATTGCTGAAGGTTCGAGGCTCCCTGCGGACGCGCCTCCTTCCCGGTATGGCCCCCTACGGCGCCGGACTAACGACTCCAAACTGCTCCTCCCCCATCGCAACGAGCTGGTTTGGGGTCCTTTTCAAGGGTAAAAGGTGAGAATTCTCCGTACGCCCGTTGTGTGCACACCACACGGTGCACACCTCCACCTGAGAGGGATATGGGCATGTTGGACGATTCTTGTGGGTACGGCGACCTGCTCGGGGTGGTGTGTTGCTGGGACGGAGGGACGGCGCGTCCCTCACCGGCTCCACGGCCGCCGTCGGGACGCTGCTGTGCTGTTGTTGTGGTCCGGAGTCCGGACCCCGGGCCCCCTCACCTGGCCAGGCCTGGCCGGTCTCCTCCACCACCACCTGCCGCCCCCCCACCCCCCCACCCCTGCCGTGCGCTGTGCCCTTCCCTGCCCTTCCCCGGCCTCCCAGGTGGTCCTGTTGGTCCAGGAGGCCGATACCTGAGAGGCTGTGGCCCTGCTGCTCGCTGCTGCCCATGCAGAGGCCGTGGGTGGTCCTCGCCGGCCTCGCCAGGGCCTCGCCAGGTGTGCACTTCGCCTCTGTGCCTTATCGTCATTAGCACCGTCAACGGATTTCAAGTCCATTGCCAACAAAAATAAAAAACGATAAGAATGAAATGCTGGCAAGTGTGACAAAGCCCTAGAAATAACAATCGCCACAACGCCCTCTTGCCTTGTAATAGTTTTGTTTTTATTTTTAAACCTAAACGCTTTTGTGTCCGCACCTTCGTAAAACTGAAACACGTTTTCACAGAACCGTGTAAATCCCCTCTCCCACCCCCCACCCCACCCGAACCAACCACCACGCCATGCCAAAAAATAAACAAAGACTAGTCAAGGCCCAACACTTTTTATCTGAGGAAAAATAAAGGAAATCAATACACTGGCCAAAGTCAGCAGCAATAAAATTAGCTATGCCTTCCGAGCTCTGCCAGACAGATACACAAATTCCCTCTTTTTGTGTGTCTGCAACCCTTCTATCTCGGTCTCGGGTGGTGCCCGTCCAGGTTCGCAATGACTGAGGAGGAGGCAACCTCAGAGAAAGGCAAGCCTGGGCCAGAGACGTTTTATGGCTGCATTGTCTTGCCCTTGGTGCCCCCCCCCCCTTTCCTCTCCCCTCTGGAGGATGAAACGGAGAGGGGGAGGGGGGAGAGGCTCCTCCAGACAAGACATTCGAAGGGCGGGGCGACGGTCTTTCACGACATCCGAGTGGAACTTAGCATGACAATAAAGAGGTCCGTGTGTCCGTCTGTCCGTCCCCACGAGTAGGAGGGGGCAAGTTGAAGTTGGACTAAATCGATCGCGATTGAGAGGTAAGGTCTGGACTGTGGGGCAGACCCAGTGCCGAGTCATGCATAGTAATGTTGCCTGAGCAAAGGCGCCGGCTGGGGTGGGGCAGGATGGGGGG